TTTATTCGGGTTACTCTTCTGGGGAGGGGGTTCTGTAATTCTATCAATGTACTGCTTGTGTCACTTGTGTTTTCATATGGAGCTCTACTTCTCCCTTCCCCAATTCCCTTCCCCGTGGAGCTATCCTGCAGGACCGAGGTTCCCCAGGGCTGCGTTTCTCCAGCCCCAGAACCGGATGAACACACACATCCACCCACCCACCCGCACATTAACAGAGCAAGTCTGAGCGGACCGGGTCAATCAGCACTGTCAAGCTGACCCCTTATATGTCTCTGGACTCACTGGGCTGGAGGAAGCAGCACTTTCAAGCTGCCTCTCCTAATATGCCCCTGGCTCCATGGACTGGGTGAAGCACTTTCAAGCTGTTTGATCATAGAATACCAGGCTTGGAAGGGACCTCAGGAGGTCAGCTAGTCCAAACCACTGCTCAAAGCAGGACTAATCCCCAGACAGATTTTTGCCCCAGATCCTTAAATGGCCCCTTATGGGTCCCAGATTCAGCACGTCCTTATCCCCACTCTCACATCACAATTGTACTGGCAGTAACCTACTTGATGAGCAAACCCCACAGGATTTTGGCCGCTGCAAGGATCTTTAGGTTAGGTAAAAGAAGCGTTGCTGTAGAGTGAATGGGGAAAGCTAAAAATACAAAAGAGTAAAGTTCAGCAAGAGAGAAAGAAGCAACCAACTTAACCATAAAAGTTATTTATTGAATAATAGTGATAACTATACAAGGAGGGCTAAACCAACATAACATACATTATTAAAGGTAATACCCAAGGTAGAAAGGAAAAGAGAGAGAGAGAAAGAGGGGAGGGATTTCACCCACTCCATGAGGCTTGAACTGGTCAGGGTTCTTAGTTGATGGTGGTAGCAGGGGGTCCTGAGGGCAGGAGACCGGCAGAGCCCCCAACATGATCAGTCAGGAGAAGATGGAGCCGGGGAGACCTCGTGCACCCACACACACACCCTGCTGGACCCTATCCCCTGAGCCCTAAACCCACCAAACCTAGCTGAATCCCGCCACGTGAGGGTCACCCCATCCCCATTACCCAGCCCGCTTGCTTATACCCATGACTGTCTCTGCCTCCCGTATGGGTGGTGGACCCTCACCGTTTATCGACTGTCTCCTGATCCCGCCCACCGGTTACCCACCCCTCATTGGGGACATTGCAGTGTGTATATATACTATGTGTGCTGCCCAGCCCCAAAACACCAACCTACCCCTATACTCTGCATGTTACCCCCAATGACCAATAACTAACGCTTCAAATTTTCTGTATCATTTTTTTTTTAAATATTCTCTAATAAAATTTAGAACTGATGCAGAGTTTGGGTCTAAGCATCAGAACCCTGACTAGAAAGTGAGTAGGGATTTTTGTAGAGAAATGACAATGGTTGAAGGGAGAACACTAGATTTGTTTCTAGGTAAGCTGATGACTCCAGGGTTTTCTTTAGGCTAGACAATAGGAGCTGATCACTCCTAGCTATGGGTGGTGTTTTCTTCCAGGGAGCTCACAATGCAACTAGGCTGCTTCAGTATTTGGATATCAATTAAGGATTAATTGGTCTGATAATTGCTGAGCTGGGTGTGGGCTTCCCTGCTTTTTCTGGTCCCAGAATTCAGTGCGGTTCTCTGTTCTCCATTCTGTATGCAAATTGAGATGCAGATGAGGCTAGGGGCATTGTCTCTGCTCTCCATTTTGTATGCTAAAGGAGATGTCTTAATCTTGTCACCCTTGTCAGGAGGGTCTAGGTGTGTCTCCCAACACCCTTCACTGCTCTCTGTAAGTTTTTTCTCTGATGGGTTTTGGTTTAAGCAGAGGCTGCGGGGGGTGGGGGTATCCTTCATGAGTCAGACAGGCTGGGTACTACGCCCTGGTTCCCCAAGAACATAGAGCTGACTGGTATCAGTTGATGGTTCATGAGAGGCTGGGAGATCATTCATGCAACACAGTTGGATGTGTCCCTGCCTGTGGATGGCTGTGTAAATGCAGTGCCTGGCAGAGGCTTGTAGCCAGACATCAGCATCACAGCGTGAGAGGCAGCCCATGCTGGTGGAACAGAGGGCTCCGCGGTCCCACAGTCCAGCTTGTACCCGGGGACACTGTCACAGCCTCTCAGCCTACGCCTCCCATGTCCCCAACACCCTCCTCAGTCTGGGACTAGAGAAATTCTCCAGCCTCCATTTTGTCTGCCTCACCCCTATTCAGAACAAACAAGAGTGGCTCCACTCTATGCAGGGCCGGCTCCAGGCACCAGCGAACGAAGCAGGTGCTTGGGGTGGCCCACGGAGAGGGGCGGCACGTCCGGGTCTTCAGTGGCAATTCGGTGGTGGGTCCCCTCAGTCCCTCTCAGAACAAAGGACCCGCCGCCGAATTGCTGCCGAAGTGCTGCAGATTGTGGCTTTATTTTATTTTTTTCGCTTCGCTGCTTGGGGCTGCAAAAAAGCGGGAGCCGGCCCTGACTCTGTGCTGCCGATGTTAAGCATGTGCAGTACTGAGATAGGGTGAAAAGTTCCACTAATTTGCAGAAAGTCCAGCATTTCTAATCTGGGGCCCCAGCAAAGAGACAGATATGAGTGTGCACGTGTGTGTAGGGACAGACAGAATCACGCCTCTGACTGGTGAAGAGTAGCAATGAGCATGTGCAAAATTGGTAGCTACTGAGCATGTCTAGTATGGGGTGAGGAAGAGATCTGTTAGTTGGTCGGCTGGCTGGCTACAGCCCACTCATATCAGTTACAGCTTGCCCTAAAATCAGAGCCCTCAGTCACAGCTCCGAGGTAGTGGTGAATACTGAGCATCTGCGAGTGAAGTAATTGCTGGAAAGGTATACTAGAAGGGAGCCAGCATGTAGGAGGGTTTGGATTAGAAAGAAAGAGAGAGTCAATCAGGAAAAGTGGGACAAATCAGAAGCCAGCCAGGGAAGCCGGAGAAGAGCTACTGGAAACATATTAGAAAAGGTGCTGCAGAGAGGGAGAAAACTGGAGTGGAGCAAAATTGACTGACCAGGAACTGAAAAGCAATAGCGATTAAAGAAAAATACTGAAGCATTTAAAACAGTGATTTAAAGGGATACCAACGGATTTATAAAGTAAGTCTGCTATTCTTTTAATTATAGTAGAGAATAGGCATAGTGTAGGATAGTCTATAGGATTAATGTGTGTGTGTGTGTGTGTGTGAGAGAGAGAGAGAGTTTATAAGAATGCATACAATTGTGTTACCGATTGCAGGCTAACTATGTAAACTTGAAAGCAATTTAAGAAATGCTGTCAGCCGTTTGTAGCAAAGTGCTTCCCTTAGAATCATTTAACCTGTATGCTGTGGCAGTTTCAATGCTTTGTAATTTGCAGTAAGGGATTTGTTTGATTTCTGTTTCTAGATTAGATTGTAGGAGGGATTGTTACTTTAATAAAAGGACACTTTGTTCTTTAGGAAAGAATATCGCCCGTGTCAGTTACTTTATCTGCAGGTTATATTGTGTCCTTTAGTGTTTTCCTTAACAACCCTGGGAATTTATACCTTGGGGAAGACAGATTAAGGGAGCAATAGGCAGGTCATTTATCTAGGGGACCCCAAAATCTATTTTAGGGGTCTGCTGCCTGTTCCCTCCCCAGTGTGCCCCCTCTGAACCACCACACCCACAGCACCTTCCTCAGCTTGTTACCCATCTCCCTGCCACAAGTAACCCCCCCACATCCTCTTCATTCTGCCTCCCATATCCCATCTCCTGCTGCTTATCCTCCCCTCCTGCATCCTCCTGGGGCCTCTTCCACCTACCTCCTGCCAGTCCCCTACAACACACAAATCCCTGTGCGCCTTTAAGGGTCAGTCTGCCTCCCCACTTCCCACTCATCCCCCATGAATCCTCCTGTCCAGCCCTGGGTCTGCTCCCACCCCTTCCCAGACACAGCCCCCTGTGACCTCCTTCATGTGCCTCCTGCCCCTGCTCACATCTTCCTGTCCGATCTTCGGCCCACCTCCTGCCTTCGCCGCCCTGTGGACACCTTGGGATGCCTCCTAGCGGCTGTCGCAGATCCCCAAGATCCATGCTGCCCCCCAGCTTTTAAAAAGCCCCTTGGAGGCAGGATCGGCTCTAGGCAGCAGCAAACCAAGCACGTGCTTGGGGTGGCACAATTCCAGGGGTGGCATTCCGGGAGGTTGTTTTTTTTTGTCTTGGGGTGGCAAAAAACCTAGAGCCAGCCCTGTTTGGAGGATACCCTTCAGTTGGCCAGACCCCCAAGGGGTCCCACTCTTCTGTAACTGCCTCACCACCACCAAGAATGAAGGTCTGGGCTCCAGCCTTGCTGCTTCATGCTGTGAGCTCTGCCCAACGAGTCCCGCTGAGCCAGGCTCCTGGGCACAGACCTGCCCACTCTGCAAGGACCAGTATATCTCAGCCAGGATTTGCAGTGACACCCGGCAGCCCTTTCCAACCCGAGCAGGGTTTATTCGTGGGCTGGGACCCAGGAGGGGAAGCCCTGAGATTAGCAGAGAGAAGCTATGGTTAAGGTTAAGCCATAGCTCGTCCTGGCCAAGCCCGTGCAATCAGCCAGCCAAGCTGTGATGGATTCCATTACCGGCTCTGTCTCTCTGGGTGTGTCTACACAGCAGCTAGACACCCGCAGCTGGCCTGTGCCAGCTGATTCAGGCTGTGGGGCTGTTCCATTGCTGTGTAGACATCTGGGCTGGAGCCAGGGCTGAAGGACCCTCGGAGGTGGGAGGGTCCCAGAGCTGGGGCTCCAGCCCGATCCTGGAAGTCTACACAGCAATGAAACAGCCCCTCAGCCCAAGCCCAGTGAGCCCAAGTCAGGGGCTGGGACAGGGCAGCAGCGGGTTACTCTTTGCTGTGTAGACAGACTCCGTCAGTCCAAAGCGAGAGCTCCGTGTCTCTCCAGAAGGCAGCACCTAACCCTGCCACCCAGCACCTTTCCCCTTTGTTCTCCAGCTGGGGCCTCAGCTCAGCTTCCCAGCGCAGCCGTAGGGGGAAAACTCCTTCCTCCGGGTCGCTGGTTGCCAGGGCCGAGTGTCCAAGCCACTGTCTTGTCGGATTCTCCATTGATCTGGGGGTCGGTTTCCAGCCAGCCCTTTAATGGCCCAGTCATTCCACCCCAGACAGCAGGATGACCACACAACCCCATGCTCCTAGCCCCCCACATGTCTTCTGTGCTGCTTCAGGAGCAGTGTTAACCCTCCTGCACCCACTGGGTAGCTACACAAAGCAGAGAGGGAAACTGAGGCACACACATAGGAATCATAAAAAATATTAAAGAAAATTTCCACCTGGTCACACCTACCCCAATGCGCATCCATCAGCACCCCCTCAGCCTGCCCCCACCCCAACGACCCTGCACTGTTCTGGGTTAAGCTCTTCCCCACACACACACGTCCCTTTTCATTCTGTTTTTCACACATCCTCTTTCCCCCCAACTGACTCCCTGTTGTCCCCCTCATTCCTCCTCAGTTTGCCACCCCCAACATGTGCCCTTCTCTGCATCCCGCCCCTCCACACACACGTCCCCTCTGGCCTTCCCAGTCTGCCCAGCTCACCCCCCCACACACACACGCCCTCCACCCGCTTCTTCCTCTTCCTGCCTCTAGCTCTGTACACAGTCTGCCAACCCCAGAGGCCCAGCCACTTCCCCCCAGGAGAGCCTGGCTTCAGCCTCCCTGAAAACAATGGGAGCTGGTGGCCCCCTTCGCTAGGGGCAGCCTCTCTTCCACACGTCAAATGGTGGGGAAATGGCGGCCATCTTGAGTCAGGGCTTCTTGGCATCAGACTCTCCTCTCCCACAAAAGTCATGGCAGAGGCCGGCCATGTCGAACATGTGCGATTTCACTGCCAGGAATGCTGAGACCACATGTGTCAATTCCCAGGTAAATATTGTGAGACCCGTGATAAAATTACTGGAGTTGTGGTTTGACCACAGTAACAGCAGGTTTTTAAACTAATCTTTCAGAAATTACCCCCCTCCCCATCCTCCCCAAGGACTGTTCTGCTCTCTGTGGATGTTCCCAGCTCCTTCTGCGACTGAGCTGGGGGGGCTGTGGCTGGGGCAGCAGGTTGTAAGTGGGGGACTCTTGTTGTTGATACAGATGCCGGTGACCTTCGAGGAGGTGGCTGTGTATTTCGCCCAGGGGGAATGGGCCTTGCTGGACCCGGGTCAGAGAGCCCTCTACAGGGACGTCATGCAGGAGAATTACAGGAATGTGACCTCGCTGGGTAAGGATTCCTGTGCCCTCGGTGTTAGAAACTGAGCATCTTTGACGTGCCCAAGTCGGCTGCTGCTCAGGGTTCTTCCCTGATCCCATCGATTTCAGGGGAATTGGCCCCATAGTCCCAGACTCAGCAGGGTTAGGAAGGTGTAAAGAGTTTACACAGTGTCGTGGTCAAAGTCACCCACGCATTGATTTTAGTTCACAGACTCAAGCCTGAGGCCAGTTTATTGCAATACATACCAACGCGTTGGGGTAGCAGTCCGAAAACTGCCACCCCTAGTACAGCACGCAGGCTGCTTTATTCCGTCAAACCTCAAGCATAGTACAAATAATACGTCATTTATGCGAAAATAAGAGTGGGGGGTCTGTCCTTCTTTCCCGGTAGCTTCCTCATTATTTACGAGAATTGGGTGCCTATTGGGTGGGGGGTTTTCTTGGTGGGGTGGTACTTGGCACCAGTTAGAGTGTTGTTCTTGTCAAGGTACATATTTTTTTTTCCAGGGTTTTACGGTTAAGGGCATAGGGGTTTATTACAGGACGCCCAAAGATGATATATGATTGGCTGGTTGGCAGATAGCTGGAACTATAGGAGAAGTTGGCCTTTACTAGAAACAATTTCTTCATATCAGCCGTTATTATGTTTCTTCAACAAGCGGTTATCATGTTTTTCATCAACAAGTGGTTATCATGTTGCTAAGGCCTTTCGCATGGCTTCCTTCCCTTCCCTCCTCTGGTCATAGCCCATGACCGTATTTGGCAGGGAATTGTACATCTTAGTTTTGTTCAGGTTCTGGCCTGTACTGTTCTATGTAAAGGCCGTCTGTATAGTCAGCTCCTGTCAGAGGGCTGAATTTGGGCCTTCGATGTTACTTTGGCTGTCATAAAGAAGGCCACCTAGTTCTTTTCCCCCACAATTTCCCTCCTCTGATGCCATGTAGGCATCATTATTGTAATTTGCTAAAGAGGTCATAGTGTAGTATTTAGGCTTAGTTTCTTGTAAACGGGGATCAGTGGACATGAAACTGGTAGTGCAGGAGGGGTGGACACTAAGGTGAATAACTTCTGGGTCTGTAGGAAAGTATAGTGTTGTGTTGGGGGTATTGATGGGAAAAAGAAGGGCCTGAGGTGGTGATTGAACCTGTAGCTGGGGTAAACGACACACCCTGCACAGGCAACAAAGGGTGGCGATTAATAAAATGCAACAGATTGCAAGAATTAGACCAGCTAGTATTTTTAAGACTGAGGATGTGAAGAGGCTGGGCGTGGCTTGGGTGATTTTTTTAGAGGCAAAACACAAAACGTCGTGGGAAGAACATAGGGGACCCACCCAGTAGGCAGTCTGAAATGCTTTGGCCTCTTTGTTGTATTCAACCTTTATCACATGTATTTGGTCTTGGAGGTGAGATATGTTGGAGAGGAGGGAAAATAGGAAAGTTAAATTTGAGAAGCGGTTTGGGATGAGGGAAGTCCAATTGAAGGTAAGAGGGACGGCTGGGTGGAGGGTTGCAGAGATTTGGGGATTAGCAGGCCATGTGATAAAGCAGCTACCCTGAGCAGTGGTCAAATTAAGGTGAAAGGAAAGAGGGGTGTGGGGATTTGATGGCAGGGCGCAACCATCCTTTTTGCTAAATAGTTTTCCTCCTGGGGCCTTACCTACTGCTTCTCCTTCCCAACAAACTGTATCAAAGATGTTCAGTAATTCCCCAGGGTGTAACTTACGGAGACAAAACAACGGTGGGGGTTCCAAGGGCCATAAGGACCACAAGGTTCCGATTCCCACCCAGACGTGTTGAGTAGCGAAACCATGGGGAGTGGTGATAAAACGGCTAGGTTTGTGGGGTAGCTTGACTTCCCATACCTGTCGGCTGATAACCCAGTCCCATAGACAGCCCGCCCAGGGCCCCGGCAAAAGTAAGTGCACGGGGGCCCAGGTGCTATTGACAGGTTCCGAAGCTTGGAAAGAGCATTGTGAGGAGTTGCAGGCCCATCCTGACAACGTCCACATATGCCTCCATTTCCACAGCTCGGGTTGCACTCCTGCAGTAGTGTTATGGGCTTTGGGCCATCGCTGACTGAGGACATCACTCTGCATTTCTGCTAAGAGACCATTAAAGAAATCCTGCATCTGGCTACAAGCTGAATCTCATCCGGTGTCTTTTTCTGTTAAAATGAGGGTGTTTATTAATTTTGTTAAGAGGTTTGGGTTGTGGTTCCCAGTCCTGACAGGGCATGGAGGGTTTTTATATTTGTATGGGTGTTGGTTAACCCTGCCTCAGTAAGGAGGCCCGATGCCCTTTCCAGATTTCCCAGGCGTTGTTCATGGTTTTGGGCCTTGTCTATTGTCCAGATAGCGGCTGCTCCGGTTAGACCATGCAAGGCCCCTTCCAGCAAGCCTTTCTTTCTCTGAAAATTTTCCCACTGCACAAGCTGGGCCAATCGAATGGCCGCTCCCTGGGTACAATTGGGGTATTGGGTAGTTATTTGGAAGGCGGAGAGGGGAAATGAGAAAGTGGTGGTCCCCATAGTAGCATTTAGCACAATCCACCGTTGGAAACGATAATCCCGTCGGTAGGGTGTGCTATACCACATTTGTTGTTACGAGACTTGAATTTCTCTGAGGCCACGGCCAGACAGATTTGTATGGGAATTGGAGAAGATATGAGGGGGAGTAGCTGGGGCGTGGAGATTGTGACAATGGGCTATGAGGCAGTCATGTAGAGTAGGGGTATATTGCAATATGATACAGGCTAAATCGGAGGCTACTGATTGGCTAAGATTTAGAAAAATTTTACTTTTCCCCTCCCCACCCCAAGTTCGTTAAGGAGAAGAGGCTGAGGAATATTAAAAGTTTCATCTTCAGGTAGTTTTGGCTAGCTTCCACAAGCTATTCTTCGAGATTTCATAGTCTTTGTTCACTTAACTGTCCAGCAGTGAGGCTGCAAGGGAGGGGTTACGAGCACAATCACCTTGCTTGGTTGGAGGCTTTATTATGTCCTCAGGTGGAGAAGTTGTTTTCTTAGCAAGATCCAAAGGCTCTGTGGGTTTGTCAGTGGACAAAGGAGAGAATACCAGCTTTTTACCTTGTCCTTCACTTCTGTTGTCCAGAAGGAGCAAGAACGCCAGAAGGAAAGATAGACCGATTAGTCAAAGAGTCATTTCAATGAGAAACATGGGTGGGTAGTCAATTCTCAGTACTTTACAGCGGTGTTGCTAATTAACAGGGCTTGATAAGAGTCCCTTAGCATGGGGCCAGGGCAGTTCTCTGCTGATGGACCTCTATGTAGACCCAGTCTCCTGGTTTCAGAGAGTGGCAGGGCTGCTGTATATAAAAAGACCTAACACATTTCGTTAGTGCCTGACTATTGTGTAATTTATTAAATGACTGTTTATCTGAGCCAGGGCCAGCAGGGCACTGCCGGTAGTCGCATCGGGCGATTCTGTTAGAAATTTATGAGAGCTGAGTTCAGTCTTTTGATTTAGTGTGGTCTTTAAAAGGCATTTGGCCATATTGATAAAGCTGCACACAACTTGTTACAGTTTGTTTAGGTATGCCAAATTGTGGTACAAAATTCCTAAACCAAGATCCACAACAGCTTTGGTAAACCAAGAAACACCTTTGCCTAAACTGTTGCAACAACCCGTCCAAGAACCCTTCCCATTTTCCTGGCCTTGTCTGCCCTGCTGCAGCCACAACTTCGGTTTTATTTAAAACAATTTAAATTTTGTAAAGCATTAAGTTACTTTAAGGATTAAATGCTAAATACCAAAATCAAACAACACTAGTTTACTTTGTTTGGCAAAAGTATTTTTTGGTTTTACCACCCCAAAGCATTTTATAACACCTTTTTTTAACATCCGTACACAGCTTTACTGTTCAGTTTTCTTCAGTAACTACAGAGTTAACTTTTTACTTTCTTTTTGTTAACTTCCTTAAACTGTGGCTGCCTGCTTGTCTGGGCCCGATCCTTTTTTTTTTGCTGGTTTGTTGGGGGGGTGAGCCTGCAGAACCCCCAGGACCGCATGCTGTGCGGTCTCTGGAGCCTCCAGGAACACCCCTTTAGGAGTACAAAAAATAGAACAGTCCAATTTATATAACAGGTCCCTTCCCAGGAGGTTGACAGGGGAACAAGGGCTGAGGAAGAAGGCATGTTGTTCAGTTAAAGGGCCAATTGATACCAGTAATGGGTTAGACACAGGATGGGGAATAGGGACATTACCGACCCCCACTGCGTTAATAATCTCCCCAGATAAAAGAAGGGAGGGGAACTCCTCCACTCGCAGTGTGGACCGGGAAGTTCCAGTGTCCACTAAGCATTTTACCGGGGTCTTGTTAATGGTACAGGTAACATAAGGACCAGATTGATCCAAGGGGATGGCTGGGGCAATAAGGTCACATGAGATCCCACGGCTGTCCTATCTATAGTCCGCTAGTGCGGGTGGTGGGGGTGCAGCTGACGGTCCTCCCCCCCCACGGCTGGGCCTGAGGCCCTCCTTGCTCTCTATAACCCCCTCGATCCCGATGGGGGCAGAACCTTATGAAATGTCCCTCCTCTCCACATCCATAGCAACAACCCGGTGGGTGGGCCCAGGGCCCTCCGTCCGTCTGTTGCATAGCAGTGGGGAACATCCCTCCCCTGGTGTTTCCTTCCCCATACCTATAGGGATGATTGGGTTCCTTTCCATTGAACATTTTCTTTTCTTGTACCTTGAGGTTTAAATTATTAATTTGGAGAGCCATGAGGTGGGTCTCCGCTTCTTCCCTTTTTTTCTCGCCTTGGTGGAAATAATGCTGAACTGCAGCTAGGATCTCCCTTAAACCTTTTCCTTCCCAACCCACTAGACCCAAACGTAATTGTTCACTTATCTTTGGACGGAGATCCTGGATGAAAACGGCCATGATGGCTTGCTCCGCTTGGGTTTCAGCGTTATTAATGCCCGAGTATTTTTCAAAGATCGATTTTAATCGGTCCAAATAATCAGCAGGGTTCTCCCCTTTACTTTGTTTACAAGTTTTTATTTTAGTCCAATCGGCCTTTGGTGGGCAGACCTTAAGAACAGCTTCCAACAATTATCCTCTCATTTCGGCCAACTGTTCTCTCTCTGGTTCCACTTTGTCCATTCCATTGTTTCATAAAGACGCCTTTGTGTTTCTCTGGGCATTATGCTTCTTAGAAATTGATCTAAATCCCCCATAGTGGGGTTATAGCAATTAATAACAACCTCCAACTCTTCTTTAAAGCGAAGAGGGTCATCTCGAATTTTTGGAAATTTGAGGCCCAGAGTGCACATATCTGTTGGGCTCCAAGGGGCATGGACCTCCGTTACCCAACCGTCCATTGCAGGGAGCTGTCTCAAGGGGAAATTTTTTTAACCTCATGGGCGGTCCCGATTTTCCCATTTGGGCTGGTTTTGAGTCTCCCTACAAGCTCCCTTAAAGTCTTAGTTACATCTCTTAAAATATCTTCCTCCATTTCTCTAAACTTACTGGGGCGGGCTTCCTCCTCCTCCCCTTTTAACCTGTCATGGCGAGCCATTTGCTCCCTGGTGCGGTAGGCTGGGCCGGGAGATATGCGCAGCATCTCGGCCAATTGATCTGCCTCATCGAAGATAGGGCATAGGGGTTTATTACAGGACGCCCAAAGATGATATATGATTGGCTGGTTGGCAGATAGCTGGAACTATAGGAGAAGTTGGCCTTTACTAGAAGCAATTTCTTCATATCAGCCGTTATTATGTTTCTTCAACAAGCAGTTATCATGTTTTTCATCAACAAGCAGTTATCATGTTGCTAAGGCCTTTCGCATTGGTTCCTTCCCCTCCCTCCTCTGGTCGTAGCCCATGACCGTATTTGGCAGGGAATTGCACAGCTTAGTTTTGTTCAGGTTCTGGCCTGTACTGTTCTATGTAAAGGCCGTCTGTATAGTCCGCTTCTGTCCGAGGGCCTGAATTTGGGCCTTCGGTGTTACTTTGGCTGTCATAAAGAAGGCCACCTAGTTCTTTTTCCCCACAACAGTGACCCTGTACCAGAGTCGTAAAATCCCGCAGTGAGTGGAGATCCCAAATCCCCTTCTGCCCTTCTCCCAAAGGGTCTCCAGGAACACTTCCCGTTCCTTTGGTTTATACAAGGGCATCCACCCAGCCAGTACATCTGGAAACAGCTGTCTGAGAACAACGGTAAAACTCGGCTCTCACTTCATTTCTTTTCCCAGAGCAGGTTTTCCAATTCCCAAGCCCAGCGTGATCTCCCAGCTGGACCGAGGGGAAGAGCCGTGGATCCTTGATCTCCAGGGGTCCCAGGCTAGAGAGATCCAGAGAAACATCCCCAGAGGTGAGAAATTGGTTAAACGGATGTGGAAATGGTTCCACTTTGTCGAATGCATGTAATGGAAATTGTCAGAGGCAGGTATAAATATGCAGGCAAGAATCAGTCTAGAGATAACGAGGTTAGTTCAATCAGGGAGGATGAGGCCCTCTTCTCCCCTTCTCCCTCTTGGTGTTCACAGCTCAACTGCTAGAAGAGGGCCTCATCCTCCCTGATTGAACTAACCTCTTTATTCCTAGACTGATTCTTGCCTGCATATTTATACCTGCTTCTGGAAATTTCCACTACATGCGTCTGACGAAGTGGGTATTCACCCACGAAAGCTTAGGCTCCAATATGTCCGTTAGTCTATAAGGTGCCACAGGACTCTTTGTCGCTTTTTATATAGCCAGAGAGTTTTCCCTAGTGGTACCTGTCAGTTTGCCATGCATGTCTTCATGTATCCAGGCAAAGGAATAGAAGGTGGAGCCACCCAGCACCCAGACAGCTCACCCGCAGTGGCTGGTGGTCAGAGCTCTCCATCGGCTGTTGTTCACGGGTTCCCTTCTTTCTTCCAAGGAAACTTTTTTCTGTAAATAATTCTAGTAGCTTATTGTGTACCCATGTTTTTCCCAGTGGAGATTTGGTTCTTTCTTATTTTATAAAGTTGTTTTTTTCTTGTTTTTCTCTGGGGCTCTATTACCTGGTACCTGGGGGCTAGGTTATGTCAAAGTTTCCTAGAGTTCAGCATTGTCTCACTTGCAGGGTGTCTAATCTGCTGAAAGCAGCAAAGAGTCCTGTGGCACCTTATAGACTAACAGACGTTTTGGAGCATGAGCTTTCGTGGGTGAATACTCACTTCTTCGGATGCATGCTGAGCAACTCTCACACTCGGTGAGGGGCACATTAGAGACAAATGCTCTATTTGTAGATCTTTCAAGAAAAGAACACCAAAATATAGGGAGCGTCCTGTACATCTCTTCTCAGACCTCAGTCATCTGGAGTCCAGTACTTTGTCCTAGGCCAGGAGTTTTCCTATGGATCTTTGTTCCCCTTCTCCCACCATATCCTGTAAGAGCTGTAAGTCAGTCTCACCGCAAGACTTGACTTATCAATCAAAGAGCTTTTCTTCTTCAGAACCGGACTCTGGGAGCTGGAAACCTTCAGCAGAGTCCTCATGGGAACTGCCAGGTACCAAGGTCAGAGTGCAGGTAGAGACTAGCCGACAGTGAATCAGAGCAGGAAATCCAGCCACTGACTCCAGGACCAGAGCATCTTTCCTTGAGAATGGCTCTGACAATGTATTAAAGGCATCAACTTCAGTACTGCCAGAAACATTAGTGACCCACAACACCTGATGCTCATGCAATGTCATGAGATTTGCTCTGTCTGTGGATGCAGGATTCCCCTTTGGTGCAACAAGATCCAACTCTGACTACTCATAGGGTACAGCCTTTAGTACAGTCGGAGATGCCCTCATCACTGGCTAGAACATCTGTAGGACCAATACCACCAGCCATGGCATTCTCGGCATCTTCAAAGCCTCCAGTACTGTTTTTTTCTACACAGGTTGTTCCTATAGGACTCAAGCCATCAGTACCAACATTTAAACCTACTGCCAAGAGGCACAGATCCAGAGGCTGTACTCTGGTGAGTCCTCCTAGTATCGCGCCACCAACTGCCCATATTCATTATGAGATTCAGAAGAAGAACCCAATACTTCTTGTTCTAGAGAGGAGATCTAGATTCTCTCCATTACATTCTTTGGTGACAAAACAGAGCATTCAGTAGAGATACCCCCAGGGTAGATCTAGACATGGATCTCCATGATGTTGCCGATGAACCCCGTGTCATATGGATGCGTGCAGTAGCTGTACTGCATCCCATGCGGCATCCCTCCGACCTGGAGGCTGGCTTCTCCAGACTGGTTCCTAGGGAGTTGTGTGGGCGGGAGTTGAGTGAGGGGTAAGACTCACGTTATAACTAAAGCTAATTGTGCTGGGAAGACACTGTCAATAAGATTTGTGAAAGAAATAACTAGTCTTTTTTCTCAAGTTACGGTGCCAACTAGCCTGAGATTAGAGATTAGTATTGTCTTCGCCACAGGTTCTCCCTTTGAGCCTATGGCTTTTGTCCTCTTCAGTACTTATCCTAAGGTGGCCACCCACGCACTCCCAGAAAACGGGACATTCCGGTACTTCCCAGAATGTCATGAGCCTGTTCTTGCTGACATGACCCCACCCCACCAGTGTGACTTCTCATGCATGGTGTGTGTGAGCTCACTGCACGTGGGGGGCAGAATTTTTACGAACACACCATCCCACGCTCACCAGCATGCAAGGACACACTGGCAGGGGTAGAACGATGCACTTTTCAGTATGGCATCTCCTGTCTAATACTGGACAAAACCAGATGGGGAAATGCTCTAGAAAAGCAGGACTGTCTGGTTTAATACCAGACCAGTGGCCTGCCTAATTTATCAGCCAAGGTCACCTTTCCAGTGGCAGTTACTTCTACTAGAAGGGCACTCCCCCCACCCCTTGGTGTACTCTTTTTTTATAAGAATAAAATTGTTTTAAGGCTTCATCCACGGTTCTTCATCAAAGACGGTTACCGATTTCCATCTCAATCAAACCATCTTTTCCCCTCCCTTTTCCCCCAAACCACGTTCACATAAGGTTGAGGAAAAACATCATTTGCTGGACGTCTGCTGGCCTTTGCCTTTTATCTGGACAGGACAAAACAGTTTCAGTCTTTGCCACAATTCTTTGTTTCCTGTGTGGAGAGAATGAGAGGACAGGAGATTCCCGTACGGTGAATTTCTGGGAGGATCCCCTCTCATCTCACTACAAGTTATGATCTTGCAAAATTAAAACCTCCTTCCAAGCTGACGGCACTTTGTGTGAGAACCCCGGCAGCTTTCCTACAGGACATTTCAATCCCAGATAACTGCAGGGCAGCAACCTGGTCTTAAAATCACACTGTTCCCAAGCATGGTGCCACTTCAGCCACTTCTAGAGACTGCGCTAGCTTTGGAAATTCTGAAAACCAATTGCAGAGCAGCTAGACGTCAAACCCTCCTCCATAGAACACTGTTTGGGAGTCACCTGAAGTGGAATAGACACACACAATCACTCAAAGGAAAAAACAACATACCCGTACTAGTTGTTTTCCAGGACATCTTGCACATGTCTATTCCAGCACCCGCCATGCTCCCTTCTCCTTCGCAGTCCATTATGATAGGCTGCTGGTGCAAACGAACTGAGATGGTGCAGGGGGAGCTCTGCCCTTTATGTCCTCGCCTGGATGCATGAGGGCCTGCATGGTGCATGTGCCACCCCTGTGGTTACCACTGCAGACATTCTCCAATTACAGTGCATTCAGCGTTCACACCCCTAGATTGGAATAGACATGAAGTGGAATGGGCATGCGCAACGTCTTGAAAACATCAAATACAGTACATGCAGGTAGCTGATTTTTCCCTTCTCTCTTTCTTCATGGAAAGGGGTGGGGGTGGGGAGAAGTCAACTCCTGATTTGTCAGTGTTCCCAGCAATTATTTTGGTTTGTTTCCCCAGTTTCCTGTTCTCCTTTTCTGTCCTTCCCGTTCCCCCGGCACAGGGACTGACTCCTGTCCGGATTCTCTCTGTCCCAGCAGGTGATGAGACGCTGAGTGAGAGCAATGAAGAGAATCCTTGTCCCGCAGGTCCTGAGCGAATGGAACCAAAGGGGGCGTTGCTGGGAAGGTGTGAAGGGGATGATCCCCAGAGTCATGGGCAGGCCAGAGAAACTCAGGGCAGGCCAGAGAAGCAGCAGGGAAACCCCCCCGGGAAGACACTGGGTGAATCCACTCACCGAGGGGGACGTTTGGAAGATCTCAATGTGGCCATGATCCAGGCGAGAACCTGTACTAAGGAGAAGCGGTTTGAATGTGCCGAGTGCAGGAAATGCTTCAGTTATGGATCACACCTTGTTAGACATCAGAGATCTCACACAGGAGAGACCCCCTATCACTGCCCTGAGTGTGGGAAACAATTCAATGACCAGTCAAACCTTATTAGACATCAGCGAACCCACACAGGAGAGAGACCCCATAAGTGCCCTGACTGCGGGAAATGCTTCAGTCAGAAGTCAGACCTTATTGTACATCAGAGAATCCACACGGGAGAGAAATGCCATAAATGCCCTGACTGTGGACAAACCTTCACTCAGAGTGCACATGTAACCAGACATCAGAGGATTCACACGGGCGAGAGACCCTATGGATGCCCAGAGTGTGGAGAAAGCTTTGCTTGTACCTCAGACCTTATTATACACCTGAGAGTCCACACGGGAGAGAAACCCTATAGCTGCCCCGACTGTGGACAAAGCTTCACTCAGAGTCATCACCTTACTGACCATCGGAGAATCCACACAGGAGAGAGACCCTTTGCCTGCCCCGACTGTGGGAAAAGCTTCAGACAAAAATCTGGTTTCAATGTCCATCGGAGAAGGCACACGGGAGAGTGCCCCTATCAATGTTCCATCTGTGAGGAAAGGTACAAGACCAAGACTTCCTTAATATTCCACATGAAACTCCACATTGACTAGTGCTGGCCATTTTCCCTCCTCTTCTCTCTGCATCCGTAGAGATCGGAGGAACGGTGGGGATAATAAAGAGTTGCCCAGTGCCCTAGGGAGCCAAGTGGCTCCGCTATTGACGTGAGTGCTGTGTGTCTCAGGAGGACGGAGGCACCAGGCGAGTGACATTATTATTACTGTATTGCATTATTCTCTGACCCTCTCCCATCCCTTCCCGGCACTCTCTGTCAGGGGCAGGCCGAAGGGTTCAGCTGGGTGTCCTGGTCCCTGTTTTCAGCCAGGGGCTCAGTTCACATTGTTGTACACTGGGATGATTCTGGAAATTGCTGCCCCTGGAGGCATTTTCTCCCTGTTCTGCATGGCGGGGAGAGGAGGGGTCTGAAATTTCTGGAAAGTCGGATGTCTGTGGAATCTTTATTGCTTATTGAATTATTTTCTCAGTATTACTTAATTATGTGTTTTTTATCCCCAAATTAGATGCAAATAAAACTTTTCTGGCAAATCCCATTTTCCTGAGCAGCCTGGGAATGTCCTTGGTTCTTGAGCTGTGGGAGGGGGAGAGGCCAAGTGTCCCAGACTGGGTGAGTCGTCTCCCTCTGCAGGAATCACTCATTCCCCATGTTCAGCCCTTTCACTGATGTCCCAGCCCATCCAGGTACATCCTTGTCTTTGCTCTTGCAGCTCTGACGGCCTCTGAGCTCGATCTTTGGGTCTTCCCTGCCCTCCACAAGGGTAGGGGAGAAACAGCCTCAGAAGCAGAATCCAGGATCCCTGGCTGGGTGGCAGCCCCAGAGGACACACACAGCTGGAGACGATGGGTAGATGGACATTTCCAGATGGGCAGCAGCCCATCTCCGTCTCTCCAGCAGCATCTCCAGCATCTGTCCCCAGCTGCTGTGTGCCCAGCTCAGTGAGGAATCCAGTGAAATTTCCCATGGACACAGAGCAGCTGCAGGGCCAGAACATTTCATATGTGTAAGATGGCAAAGCTGGGTAGGTGGGGGTGAGAATAATTTGCCATGCAGAGACCGTAGGGGAGGGCAAACACTGGCAGCACGAGTGGCTGAGGGAGACTGACAAGAGGCCGGGAGTCGGAGCCAAGGACCCAGGAGTTTGATAAAACAGCAGCAATGGCCAGTAACAAGCAGGGGCATTTTCAAAAGTGATACATTCATCACCCCATGGCCCCCTCCTTCCAGTGCCCCTTACTCACCCCCTCCCATCCCAGGAGGAGGGGGCCGTGGGGCAGTGTCAGTGAGTTCAGAGCTGGGGGTATGAATGGGGGTTACACCCGGCTGCTGGAGCTCTGTGTATCGAGGTACGAGGACGTCACAGCGGCCGTGTGAACCCCCCACCGTCCTGCCGACGTGGCTTAGCCCTGACCCCTGCTGGAACCTCTCCCTGGGGAGGAACCATCCCTGCGGCCTGGTCAGGCCTGGGCCTCCCTGCGGAGATGGCCAGGGAAGCTGCCGTTAATGTGAGTGACGACGTGAGCTTCTGTGAGCCTGGGCTGGGATCAGTGACTGGGGAGTGAACGGCCCCAGCTCCCCTCACTGCCCCCCTGAGCCAGCTGGTCCCCTGCCCCCCGCGGTGCGGCAACGACGACGCTCACACTTGGTGCCACCCCCAGTGCCCCAGCGGGGAGAGCGAGGGCCTGTCCCAGGCACAATGGGCGCATTCTGCACCAAGGGAGACTGAGGCTGGAGACGAGAAAACACTTTCTCACTCCAGGGCAGTGAGACTCTGGACCCGGCTCCAGGGGAGGCTATGGGATCCCGTCACTGGGGGTTTCTAAGAAGAGGCTGGACAAACCCCTGCCAGGGATGGTCTCGGCCCTGCCCCAGCATGGGGGGCTGGACTAGGTGACCTCTCGAGGTCCCTTCCAGCCCTGCATTGCTATGAGTCTAGGTTACAGCTGTGCTGGGGTTGGGCCCGGGCCTGGGGGCTCTAAGCATGGTGAGTGGCACACGGCAGAGTTAACGCATTAGTGACCCAGGCAGTGGGCGGCTCCATGTCCCTGCCAGGGTCTGGGCTGGCATGTGTCTGGCTGTACCCAGCTCAGCAGGGTGTTACTGGGCTGTGTGGACAGGCCCTAGGGTTGGCACCTGTCCAGGTTTCCCAGGATCGTCCCTTTGTCCAGGTCGCTGTCCTGGGAAATCGGAATCTGCCCAGGACATGACTAGGCCCGGGTGTGTCAATGGCTGTAGGGAGGAGCTGCGGGGTGGCGGTGCCTGTGCAGAGGGAGCTCTGGCTCCAGAATGCCCCGGACCCGCGGGGATGCTGGGGAGCAGCGAGTGAGACGGGGAGCTCGGGGCCAGCAGGGCCAATTTACACCGCGCAGGTGCTGGCTGTGGGGGGCACCGTGGGGTCATGGGGGGGCGGGGTGGATCTGGCACCATGTCCTGCTTGGCGAGAAACAGGAGCCTGTGGGGGCTGGTGCCGTCTCCCAGGGGCGGGAGGGGGACATGGTGCCCGGGGGTGGGGGGAGAACGCGGCGCCCGGGGGCGGGAGGAGGACGCGGCGCCTGGGAGTTTGAAGGGAACACAGTGCCTGGGGTGAGGGGACAGGTGGTGTATGTGGAGCAGGCAGATATCGTGGTTTTTTTGCTCCTCAGAGGTGGCGACCTAAACAGGACCCTCAGCGATGTTTGTGTAACTTCCCTGGGTGCCCCGCGCTGTGCGGTTGGATATTCTGGGGTGCATGTACCCCTGGGCCCGTGGTGCTGCAAGGTATGTGCATGTCCCTGGGCTCTCTGATTCCTGCTGAAGCA